TGAAAATGAGGAAGAAAGGGATTGTCAGTGGTCAGGAATGAATGCAAGCATTACTGATAGAATAGGGCTATTATATGTATAATGTAAATGCATTGCTAATGATTTTACTATAGGAATGCATTGAAAATCAGGAAGAAAGGGATTGTCAGTGGTCAGGAATGAATGCAAGCATTACTGATAGAATAGGGCTATTATATGTATAATGTAAATGCATTGCTAATGATTTTACTATAGGAATGCATTGAAAATCAGGAAGAAAGGGATTGTCAGTGGTCAGGAATGAATGCAAGCATTACTGATAGAATAGGGCTATTATATGTATAATGTAAATGCATTGCTAATGATTTTACTATAGGAATGCATTGAAAATCAGGAAGAAAGGGATTGTCAGTGGTCAGGAATGAATGCAAGCATTACTGATAGAATAGGGCTATTATATGTATAATGTAAATGCATTGCTAATGATTTTACTATAGGAATGCATTGAAAATCAGGAAGAAAGGGATTGTCAGTGGTCAGGAATGAATGCAAGCATTACTGATAGAATAGGGCTATTATATGTATAATGTAAATGCATTGCTAATGATTTTACTATAGGAATGCATTGAAAATGAGGAAGAAAGGGATTGTCAGTGGTCAGGAATGAATGCAAGCATTACTGATAGAATAGGGCTATTATATGTATAATGTAAATGCATTGCTAATGATTTTACTATAGGAATGCATTGAAAATGAGGAAGAAAGGGATTGTCAGTGGTCAGGAATGAATGCAAGCATTACTGATAGAATAGGGCTATTATATGTATAATAAAATGCATTGCTAATGATTTTACTATAGGAATGCATTGAAAATGAGGAAGAAAGGTATTGTCAGTGGTCAGGAATGAATACAAGCATTACTGATAGAATAGGGCTATTATATGTATAATGTAAATGCATTGCTAATGATTTTACTATAGGAATGCATTGAAAATGAGGAAGAAAGGGATTGTCAGTGGTCAGGAATGAATGCAAGCATTACTGATAGAATAGGGCTATTATATGTATAATGTAAATGCATTGCTAATGATTTTACTATAGGAATGCATTGAAAATCAGGAAGAAAGGGATTATCAGTGGTCAGGAATGAATGCAAACATTACTGATAGAATAGGGCTATTATATGTATAATGTAAATGCATTGCTAATGATTTTACTATAGGAATGCATTGAAAATGAGGAAGAAAGGGATTGTCAGTGGTCAGGAATGAATGCAAGCATTACTGATAGAATAGTGCTATTATATGTATAATGTAAATGCATTGCTAATGATTTTACTATAGGAATGCATTGAAAATCAGGAAGAAAGGGATTGTCAGTGGTCAGGAATGAATGCAACCATTACTGATAGAATAGGGACTATTATATGTATAATGGAAATGCATTGCTAATGATTTTAATATAGGAATGCATTGAAAATGAGGAAGAAAGGGATTGTCAGTGGTCAGGAATGAATGCAAGCATTACTGATAGAATAGGACTATTATATGTATAATATAAATGCATTGCTAATGATTTTACTATAGGAATGCATTGAAAATCAGGAAGAAAGGGATTGTCAGTGGTCAGGAATGAATACAAGCATTACTGATAGAATAGGGCTATTATATGTATAATGTAAATGCATTGCTAATGATTTTACTATAGGAATGCATTGATAATCAGGAAGAAAGGGATTATCAGTGGTCAGGAATGAATGCAAACATTACTGATAGAATAGGACTATTTTATGTATTATGGAAATGCATTGCTAATGATTTTAATATAGGAATGCATTGAAAATGAGGAAGAAAGGGATTGTCAGTGGTCAGGAATGAATGCAAACATTACTGATAGAATAGGACTATTATATGTATAATGGAAATGCATTACTAATGATTTTACTATAGGAATGCATTGAAAATGAGGAAGAAAGGGATTGTCAGTGGTCAGGAATGAATGCATGCATTACTGATAGAATAGGGATATTATATTTATAATGTAAATGCATTACTAATGATTTTACTATAGGAATGCATTGAAAATCAGGAAGAAAGGGATTGTCAGTGGTCAGGAATGAATGCATGCATTACTGATAGAATAGGGATATTATATTTATAATGTAAATGCTTTGCTAATGATTTTACTATAGGAATGCATTGAAAATCAGGAAGAAAGGGATTGTCAGTGGCCAGGAATGAATGCAAGCATTACTCATAGAATAGGGCTATTATATGTATAATGTAAATACATTGCTAATGATTTTATTATAGGAATGCATTGAAAATGAGGAAGAAAGGGATGTATAATGCAAATATATTCACTATGATTGGCTTAGTGAATATAGTGCGTTAGCTTCGGATGTGGATGATTATTACCATTGAGTAGTGAATTTACTCCTCCCTGAGTGTCCCATGTTTTTCTTTCTTCCATAGTAACCTGCATTTAGCGAATAACGATCATTCAAAGGAAATAAGAAAACATGCCAAGAATTTTGGATATCTAATTAGTTATTACATTGTTAAAAGCCATGGGTGTTCTTTAGACTAACTGGAGAAAAGTGTACTGAACTGTTACGTAATATAACACCTCTTATATGGCTGCGAAGTTTTGACAGTCTCCTAATAGATTAAGAATAGATTTAAGAAAAAAAGAAAAGTGTAATGATCTGATATGCAATATCAGTCCTCCTATATATCAGTGAATTTTGGACAGTCTCCTTAAAGGTGAAGAGATTGAAGTAACAAAAACAAAGAAAAGAGTACTGAAGTGTTACGTATTATCATTCCTCCTATATGGCAGTGAATTTTGGACAGTCTCCTTAAAGATGAAGAGATTGAAGTAACAAAAACAAAGAAAAGAGTACTGAAATGTTACGTATTATCATTCCTCCTATATAGCAGTGAATTTTGGACAGTCTCCCTAAAGAGGAAGAGACTTGAACTAACGGAAACAACGAAAAGATTACTGAACTGTTACGTAATATCAGTGCCCCTATATGACAGTGAATGCTGGACAATCTCCTCACAGATGAAGAAGAGGCTTGAAACAATAGATACAAAGAAAAGAGTACTGAACTGTTATTGAATATCAGTTCTCCTATATGGCAGTGAATGAAGAACAATCTTGTCACAGATGAAAAGAGTTGAGACCACAGAAATGATACAAGTGATACAAGTCTTACTAATTAACCTATAGCTGGGGTGAGAAGAGGTGGATTCATGCCTTTGCCTAGGTTATTTGCGCGTATGTGAATAAAACGAACCCAACTGGAATTAGAACTCGGTTTTCCGATTAACAATTTCGAAACATTATTCATTACCCCACCCGTACATCTAAGCTTATAGCGTCTAGTATTTCCAAGTGGTCAACCATCTAGGTACTGACCAGGCTCGACGTTACTTAACTTTGGGGGACGTAGAGGGCCGGTGTTACTCCGTGGGGTGACCGTAAGACTTTGAAAATTGGATACTCAGAGGGCAGAATGAAAGCAAGACGCACAGAGGAAAGCAATGCATAACCTACCCAGCGAGCTTGAGTAAATGGATGGCGGAACAGGGTTTAGGAGAGATATTAAAATTTATTAAGAGCTACAAAGAACTGGAAATTGTGGAGAGCCATATTCACCAACAAAATGAAATGACACGACACATAGAAGAAGTAGAAAAAATGAGCTTAGGTAAATGGATGGCAGAATAGGGTTTATGAATGAATAGCAGCATGACCCGGCGTTGCCCGGGCTTGATTCAAAAATCGTACGACTCATGCAGCAATCGCTATCACTTGACTTAAAATATTTTTGCCCTTCCTTGCCTTTAAAGGAGTGCCATTTGCTATGCTGATGTTGCTACATGCCTTACTTCTTGCCTATCTCACACTGTGAATTTTTTCTAAGCTCTATACTAAACATTAAATCTGTTACGAAAAAAGAACTAAACAAAATGAACACAAAACGATCACCTTTAAAAAAGGACTCGTAACTGAAAAAAGCGAATGAAAAAAGAATGTTAACAACAAATACTTTTTCACACCCAACCCAGTTCTGCGGAATCAGAATCAATGTTGAGTTTAATCAAGCGAATGAGCCAATTGGAGTAAAGTGCCATGCAGATTTAAATTTTTCCCACTTGTGACGAATGCAGCTATCGATTTTTTTTTGCATGCTAGCATGCTAGTTAAGATTCGTGTCAGTCAGCTATAGGGTCTCACTCTGGCCAGTAGAAAATGGCCGCAAACTACATGAAAACTGCCGTAGAAGCATGAAAAAATCGATTATTTCCACTATCGATGTCAGTTGGGAAATGCAAAGTCGGTCTTGGCCTTTCCGCTAACTTGGAGCATGTGCGTGTAAATTTTGGTGCAAATCCGTCGAAAATTGCGGCTGTGCATTCGTTACACACACACACACACACACACACACACACACACACACACACACACACATCCTGCCTTTCATAGATAGAGATAGCGAAAGGACAACTTTTAAGAGCTACAAAGGACAGGAAATTTTGGAGAGACATGATCGCCAACGTCCCGAAGGAAGCTCATAAATATTTTTTTAAGCAAATCACGACAATTCTTCGTAAATATACATGCAAGAGGGGCGATAGGCTGGATTTTGATTGTGGCACTGATGGGCAAATCTGAACTGGCTTAGCCACTGTGCAACCGGTATTTATTAAGACGTGTATCCAGAACGGGAGTTACATTTGGTGTAGTGTATTTTATTGTTATTGACCCCCTGTCAACATTACGGTCGTTTTTCGTTGCTGTTGTGACCTGGGCAGTTAAGGTCGTTAAAGAGGTCTGCGTACGCGCTCACACACCCAATACAATCATTTCTTCTTCTTTAATTATCATTGTATACCATTGACAGGATGTATTGTCAAGATATGGGAGGGAGAATTGGAGGCTGCACCAAGGGATAGATGAACTCATGCCTTTTCTGCTTCCGATATAAAGGCTGATGATATTTACGTTAGCTAATATCTCCAACAAATAAAGAGACAAAAGTAAAATAAGTTGTGGGTGAAAGAAAGAAAGAAAGAAAGAAAGAAAGAAAGAAGAAAGAAAGAAAGAAAGAAAGAAAGAAAGAAAGAAAGAAAGAAAGAATGTGAGATGAAGTAGAAAAAGAAACAAAGGATCAGATGGAAAAGAAAGAAAGAAAGAAAGAAAGACTTCTTTGCGACAGAATGTCTCACTCATAACATATGAGATGGAGTAGAAAGAAAGAAAGAAAGAAAGAAAGAAAAATGGAATGGAATAGAAAGAAAGAAAGAAAGAAAGAAAGAAAGAAAGAAAAAAGAAAGAAAAAAGAAAGAAAGAAAGGATGAGATGGAGCAAGAAAGAAAGAAAGAAAGAAAGAAAGAAAGAAAGAAAGGATGAGATGGATTTGAAAGAAAGAAAGAAAGAAAGAAAGAAAGAAAGAAAGAAAGGATGAGATGGATTTGAAAGAAAGAAAGAAAGAAAGAAAGAAAGAATGTGAGATGAAGTAGAAAAAGAAAGAAAGGATCAGATGGAAAAGAAAGAAAGAAAGAAAGAAAGACTTCTTTGCGACAGAATGTCTCACTCATAACATATGAGATGGAGTAGAAAGAAAGAAAGAAAGAAAGAAAGAAAGAAAGAAAGAATTGAAAGAAAGAAAGAAAGGATGAGATGGAGAAGAAAGAAAGAAAGAAAGAAAGAAAGAAAGAAAGAAAGAAAGAAAGAAAAGAAAAGAAAAAATGGAATGGAATAGAAAGAAAGAAAGAAAGAAAGAAAGAAAGAAAGAAAGAAAGAAAGAAAGAAAGAAAAAAGAAAGAAAGAAAGAAAGGATGAGATGGAGTAGCAAGAAAGAAAGAAAGAAAGAACGAAAGAAAGAAAGGATGAGATGGATTTGAAAGAAAGAAAGAAAGAAAGAAAGAATGTGAGATGAAGTAGAAAAAGAAAGAAAGGATCAGATGGAAAAGAAAGAAAGAAAGAAAGAAAGACTTCTTTGCGACAGAATGTCTCACTCATAACATATGAGATGGAGTAGAAAGAAAGAAAGAAAGAAAGAAAGAAAGAAAGAAAGAAAGAAAGAAAGAAAGAAAGAAAGAAAGAAAGAATTGAAAGAAAGAAAGAAAGAAAGAAAGAAAGGATGAGATGGAGAAGAAAGAAAGAAAGAAAGAAAGAAAGAAAGAAAGAAAGAAAGAAAAATGGAATGGAAGAAAAGAAAGAAAGAAAAGAAAGAAAAGAAGAAAGAAAGAAAGAAAAAAAAAAGAATGAAAGGATGACATGCAAAAAAGAAAGAAAGAAAGAAAGAAAGAAAAGAAAGAAAGGATCAGATGGAAAAGAAAGAAAGAAAGCCTTCTTTGCGACAGAATGTCTCCTCATAACATATGAGATGGAGTAGAAAGAAAGAAAGAAAGAAAGAAAGAAAGAAAGAAAGAAAGAAAGAAAGAATTGAAAGAAAGAAAGAAAGAAAGGATGAGATGGAGAAGAAAGAAAGAAAGAAAGAAAGAAAGAAAGAAAGAAAGAAAGAAAGAAAGAAAAATGGAATGGAATAGAAAGAAAGAAAGAAAGAAAGAAAGAAAGAAAAAAGAAAGAATGAAAGGATGACATGGAGTAGCAAGAAAGAAAGAAAGAAAGAAAGAAAGAAAGAAAGAAAGAAAGGATCAGATGGAAAAGAAAGAAAGAAAGCCTTCTTTGCGACAGAATGTCTCACTCGTAACCAATGTGCTAAATTTAAGCCCTAAAGTAAAGAGATGAACATGAATTTGTGATGCCTGATCATTCTATTCCTCGCTCAAGTTACCCGGCGTTTCCCCTGTCTCGACGGATATTTAAAACTTCCCTGAAAATCACTCCACCACAAAATAAAAATCTCCTTTAACTCACATTTACTTTTATTTTATTTAAAATTATGGGTTTATTTATGTTGAGGGACCCATTTTGCTTTTTAACCAATATTTTAGTAAAACCTTGTATTTTGTATTTTGCGCCTGAGGGTGAAACTCTGGGAACGGGTGGGGGTAGATCTCAGGTTTTAAATTAGTAAATAGGAAATAAGCTATTGAATTATATACAGTGTAACCCGGATATAAGAGAGTTGTCGGGACCGGAGAAGAAGTCTCTTATATCCGGGTTTCTCTTATATCCGGGTTTGGTCTATTTTGTTTAGGTAAGTATGGGCTCTAATTTGGGACCAGAGAAAATCTCTCTTATATCCGGGTCTCTTATATCCGGGTTACACTGTATAAGGCAACAGTTTTTTTTAAGGTAGTTTAGGGTTAAATTCTGAAGTTGTTTCATTTGGGGGTACCCACTTTCTGTGTGTGCATGTGTGTGCTCGAGGGAGAGAGAGACACACACATACACATAATATATCTATTGCTCGTTCTTACTCTTTATATATATATATATATATATATATATATATATATGCACACATATATATATAGAAAGAGGTAGAGAGGGGGAGACGGAGAGAGAGAGAGAAGAGAGATAGAGAGCGGAAGAGGTAGAGGTAGAGGGTGAAGACGACCTCTTTGAAGCGGAGCTTTGTCTCAAAAAGAGTCACGAATTGCAAATGGCCCAGTAGACATTATGATATCTCTGTCAGGATCCACGAAAACAAATAAGCCTCTACGTCTGACATTTCGGCCGGACACAGACACACAGGCGGCGAATTACGAATAATAATAATAATAATAATAATGGAGTTTCGGACACAAAGGAAGTACGAAAAAACAAAAGTAATATTAGAAAGTCACTGCTCTTTGGGGTTTTCACTTTACCATTACTACGAACCGATATATAAGAACGAAGTGACCAAACAAAAAAATAAAAAAGGAAAAAAAAACAAGAAAACAAACCACAAACAAAAAATGGCTTCTCATAGGTATGACTCTGCAAGCAGATAAAAAAAAATATCCGTTAAAGAATATAACAAAATAAGGAATCCTGAAATAGAAAATTGAAAAAAAATGTGTCAGCTTAAAAATACAGTCATACCTAAAATAACTGGAGCACTAGGAACGAACAAAAGAGGGGTATACAAGAAGAATATTAATAAAACCCTTGCTATCCAGAAGGCTAATAACATAATTTAACAGAAGACAAAAAGTGCAACAATGAAATTCGATAACAAAGAAGCCAAAGTTAAGCAAAGTATTACGAAACAGAAAAAAATATTTTTCTTTTCTTGTTATCAGAGTTCAGGGACGAATTTATTGCTAAATCGGGGTGGTCAGATTCTGGGCTGTCTTTAGGGTGGATAGAAAGCGAGAAAGTGTGACACTGAAATAGGAAGGCGCGCTGTGATAGGCAAAGATGCATTCCAAAAACTAAGCAAAGTATTAAACAACAGGAAAATTTCGTTAGAAACAAAGAAAAGAAACAATGATAAACAGTGCTAAACTGTTACATGATATTTGTAACTCCTATATGGCAGTGAATGCTAGACAATCTCCTCACAGATGAAAAGAGACTTCAAGCAGAAAAGAAAGAAAAATACTGAACTGTTATGTAATATCAGTCCTCCTGGCAGTGAATCTGGACAATCTCCACGAGATGAAAAAGAGACTTCCAAGCAAGAGAAAGAAAGAAAAGTGTACTGAACTGTTATGTAATATCAGTCCTCCTATATGGCAGTGAATGCTGGACAATCTCTCCAGACTTGAAGCAAGAGGAATGAAAAAGACTGAACTGTTATGTAATATCAATCCTCCTATATGGCAGTGAAGACACCTCACACATGAAGAAGAGACTTGAAGCAAAGAAAGAAAGAAAAGTGTACTGAACTGTTATGTAATATCAGTCCTCCTATATGGCTGTGAACTGGACAATCTCCTCACAGATACTTCAAGCAAGAGAAAGAAAAGTAACTGAACTGTTATGTAATATCAGTCCTCCTATATGGCAGTGAATGCTGGACAATCTCCTCACAGATGAAAAAAGAGTAATATCAGTCCTCCCATGGCAGTGAATGCTGGACAATCTCCTCACAGAGAAAGCAAAGAAAGAAAAAAAAAGTGTACTGAACTGTTATGTAATATCAATCCTCCTATATGGCAGTGAATGCTGGACAATCTCCTCACACATGAAGAAGAGACTTGAACAAGAGAAAAGAAAGAAAAGTGTACTGAACTGTTATGTAATAAGAAGAATGCTGGACAATCTCCTCACAGATGAAGAAGAGACTTGAAGCAAAGAAAGAAAGAAAAGTGTACTGAACTGTTATGTAATATCAGTCCTCCTATATGGCAGTGAATGCTGGACAATCTCCTCACAGATGAAGAAGAGACTTGAAGCAAGAGAAAGAAAGAAAAGAAACTGAACTGTGTACTGAACTGTTATGGCAGTGAATGCTGGACAATCTCCTCACCAATGAAGAGACTTGAAGCAAAGAAAGAAAGAAAAGTGTACTGAACTGTTATGTAATATCAGTCCTCCTATATGGCAGTGAATGCTGGACAATCTCCTCACAGATGAAAAAGAGACTTCAAGCAAGAGAAAGAAAGAAAAGTGTACTGAACTGTTATGTAATATCAGTCCTCCTATATGGCAGTGAATGCTGGACAATCTCCTCACAGAAGAAACTTGAAGCAATCAGTACAGAACTTTTTTGTAATATCCTATATGGCAGTGAATACTGGACAATCTACAGAAACAAGGAAAAGAGTACTAAACTCTTATGTTATATCAGTCCTCCTATATGGCAGTGGATGCTGAGATTTCCTCAGAGATGAAGAAGAGACTTGAAGCAACAGAAATGTAGTTCTAGAGAAGGATGCAGATAATACCATTGACCGAATATGTGAGCAACGACAAAAATGGAAACAAAAATTAAATTTACACTTAACACCAGGAAGAGAAAGTAGAAATATCTAGCGCACATCATCCAGTAAGGAGGTTTTGAAAAATTTGATACTTACAGAGAAGATTAAAGCCAGTGGGATTATGCAAAGCAACGGATAACCTACCTAGCTAGGATGTATAAATAGATGCCAAACCAGGGTTTAGGAGAGCTAACAGAAAGAGAACATTTATTAAGAGCTACAATGGACAGGAAATTGTGGAGAGCCATGATCGTCAACGTCAAAGAGACAGAGAACATAGCAGAAAAAAGAATATCTTGATTTTCTAAACGTAGCTTAGATGTGACACAATGCAGTGAACAGAAGAGTAACAACAATGTAAAAAATATTGCACTGAAGATATTAAAATATAAAAACTACACAGAATGATCGTTGGGATCCATGTAGGAAGTTTATAAATTCACCATTTGTCCATGTACCGATTATACCTGATGTCGTTCATAATGACGGTCTTCTTCGAGTAGAGAATCCAGAGGTTAGCAGTGAATATCTTGAAGACAGTAGGAAAGCGTTGTTCACGTTAGCAGTGGATATTTTGAAGACATTAGCAGAGTATAGTTCGTCCTTCTGTTTCTCTTCGCCTGACAAGCTGGCACTGGACATTCGGGTAGAGTAGACAAAAATGGCCGCCTTCATACACGACGGATTGAAAGTTCTACGGCTTCTGATTGGTTAACCTTCTATTGGTGGACTATAAAGTGAGTCAAGGCATTTTGACTAACTCACTAGTATATATATATATATATATATATATATATATATATATATATATATATATGTATACACACAAAAAAAAAGAATCTGGTCCTCCCGTTATGTATCTCTTGATATGCTTGCTAAAATCCAAACAAGGGTCTGTAATGTTATCAGTCCTGACCTGGCATCTCGACTTTAATCACTCTCTCATCACCGTGAGTCTGAGGTATAACGATAAACTAAATTCTCGCTGGAATCTTTATTGCAAATTTATAGATTTACCTTTTGTTGTAGTAAATGGGTATGTCCCCATTCACATAAATACAGTAGTAAATACTGTATGTTAGTCCGCAGTTAGAGATTCGTCTCCAGCTGTGCTGGTCAAACTCTCTGCCTCCGAGCAGAGAGGATCTCCAAACGAGGCTATGTCGAAGGACAGAGTCTCGTCTCGAAATCAGCTACCCGACCCCTTTTTAGATGAGGATTACGGGGTATTTTGGGCCGAGCCTACAGGCTCGGGCACCCACATTAAATTCGGCCTTGTGTCACATCTGACTGCGTGGGGCGATTGGTAGGTATTCTGGAGTTAGAGATTCGTCTCCGGCTGTGCTAGTCAAACTCTCTGCCTCGGGACAGAGAGGATCCCCAGACGAGGCTATGTCGAATGGTCTAGGAAAACAGCTACCTGACCCCGTTTTATACGGGACTAGCAGTAGATCCCGGCGTTTCCCGGGGATGTAACAATAAGAGATAGATCAAATATCCACCATCATATAGACTAAAAAATAAAATTGACAAAGATTATTGTTTAAGGTTGACGGACACGCATGTCTTAATTAGTTTTTTTTTTTTTTTAACGAATTAGTCAAACCCAAACTCAAACAAAAACATTGTTTTCAACCGTTATGGGTCTACCGATTGAATAGAATTTTATTATAAACAATTGTCTTGTAAATGGAATTTTTAAAGCATTCTGAATGTAAAAATAAAGAAAAAAGTGTGCAAGACAATAAGAAACACTACCTGCCAAAAAAAAGTGAAGTTTTGTTGAAATCGGTTGAAAAATGTAGGAAATCCGATCCCATATATAAATGAACACACACACACACACACACACACAAACAACCTG